ACTGAGGATTCCAGTTAAGATATCACAATCCTAACTCAATGTTTGTTCTCAGTAGGAATCAAAAGTTATAGCTATAAAAAATTAAAAAAAGAAAAAAAACCAGGAAGTCAGTTCGGGTAATTTTTATTTATCCTATTATAGCTCAAGGCTGATGAGACATTTTAAAAACCTCCACCCCAAACCCCACTCCTCTCCCCATTAAAGCTAAGCTACAAGCTGAAGTTTGCTGCTTTACAATAAAGCACTTGCAGCAATGTTGCAGAGTTTTGAGGAAATTTTAAACAGTATTAAAAAGGAGCATTTACAGTTAGTAAAACTTAGAAGTGCTCTGGTAAGACCATGTTTCTGAGACAGGATGGCAAGGGAGAATTTTCCAATATGAGCAGTTTTCTCCAAAAGAGGGTATAGACCTTTTCCCTGACCAATGTACTCACTACCAGATCAGACAGAAGACCGCAGTAACTTTTTGTTAAATCCATGATGTCCATTATGCTTGCTTTCAGTGTTGCTCCTGTCTGACTTAGCAAGTTCATACATCTGTTGGACAGAGCACTATGTTGATTCTTAATCATTAAAACAAGCCTGTTAAGCAAAGTATGTTGATTTCTTCCTTTCCAAAATTTCTTTTAGGGGCTAGTAGTGATGTCTGCTGAACTGGAAGAAGTGGTAAACAGCATTCTGAAAGGCAAAATTCCAGGACTATGGATGAGTAAGTCTTACCCAAGCCTCAAGCCTCTGGGCAGCTATGTGACTGACTTCCTTAGCAGACTGAAGTTCTTACAGGTGAGCAATCCCCATTTACATGGGTTTGTTCAAAGCATTTACTATTTTTGTCTGTTGATGTCAGGTGACATGTCCACAAGTGAACACACACACAAATTACTCTCACTGAATAACTGACAGGTCAAGTTCAGTTAATTTGTGCATGTTTTGTACAGCCACTTGCTCATCACAGCATCTGATGCAGCACTACGATTTGCCACATATGCTACACCTCACAAAGAGAGCTGCAGTACATCAGTAATACTGTATGACAGCCTTCTGAACTGAATTTACTAAGGGCCTCTTAAACTGCACACAGATCTGATGGTGCTAATGACTTAGGAAAATACTGTTGAGTTTCTTTTCCAGTGAGCGAACTGAAATTAGTAAAACATTTTAACACAAAATCTCATGTTAAAAGTCAAATACCAAGGTTTCAGTAGAGTGCTGGAGAAGAAAGCTGGATGAGTTAGGGAGAATCAGTGGGGTTCCTTCAGCTGTAGTCCAGATTCCTAAAACTGACTTTAAATGAGAAGTATCTAGAGTCTCAGCACCATTTTGTCGCTCAGTAATCTCAATCAACTGAAGAAAACCAATCTGATATCAGGTTGCCTGCTCCATACCTGTTGTATGAACAGGTCTCAAGACAAAAGATCTAGCAACAAATACCATAACTAACTTAAAAAAAAAAAAAAATCAAAATAAGCATCCAGTATCAGGTCCAGGAGGCTATTCACAAAATCTGCATTTCCAGAGAACCTCTATTTTATGTTTTTGGACACACATCACCCAGTCAACACACCTCAGTACCTCCTGCTTTCATCTGTAGCAAGCCTGACAGCAGTGGAAAGAACAAAAGTGCCATTTCTTGAACAGAATCCAAGACAGAAATTAAACTTGTACAGAGGACTGCCAATAGCTAAGAGGATTATTTTTTCTTTCTTGGGAGGAAAACTACTTAGTAGTAGAGACAACTAGTTTAGTTGTCTTCACTGTAATTCTCTATAGTGGATAACTGTAGCAAAATTTTTTCAGGCATTATTCAAAACTGCTATTCTCAAAAATCAGAAAAAGGTCTTCTAGTATGTAGTAAATATTCACCATTGCAACAGACCTCACATATTTTACAACCAAATTCAATTAATTTTGGCATTTTTAAAAATCTTTTATAGACATGTCTCCACAGTGTAAGCTATTAAAAAAAATAAAAATCAACCAAACAAAAATAAAACCCTGCCCACACCCCTCCCCAAATGCACAGAAGTTTAATTAGGTTACATATCCTTTTCATGAGGAAATCATCCCTCCTCATCTTCAACTTGCTGTACATACTTATGACGATGTGACTTTGGCCCTGAGAGGGAAACATGACCCTTTCAGAGAGAAAGCAGCCTGCAAAAAATCTGTCATTGAGAAACAAAGGTGAATGCTAAACAGCCTTCAGTAACAAAGGAGAAGGAGAATTGAACGCTCATTCAGTGAATTTACAAGGATGATGCATGTTTAACAGACTTACTCAAAGTCATTCACATAAACTAAGTACTTCCAGCAACAGTGCTGTTTTTGGGGTTTTTTTTATTTGATGGTAGTTTTTGGTTGTTGTTTTTTTTTAAAACAGAAGCTAGTGACATTTTAAAAAGACATGGCAGCCATCCAAAGTTTCACTGCTTTCAGAAAAGAAAAAAGACAATCCTGGATTCACAAAGGGAGAAATTACTTCTGCTGTTGTTCTAGAGGGTATTTGCTTTCCTAAATGCTAAAAACAAAAAGGAAAGGCAGTTTTTTTTCTTTTCTCCTCCTCTCTCTTTTGCTGCTGCAGATGTGGTATGAAAATGGAACTCCACCAGTCTTCTGGATTTCAGGATTCTTCTTCACTCAAGCATTCTTAACAGGTGCCCAGCAGAACTATGCCAGAAAATACAGCATTCCAATAGACCTACTAGAATTTGACTATGAAGTGCTGGAAGACAAAGAATATGAAATTGCTCCTGAAGATGGTAAGTAAATGCATGACACATCTTTGCTGATGTACTCAGAAGATAACATTAATTTGCAGACTCAGAGTTATGCAATTTGGTTAATGAATTCAGCTAGAATACATACACAACTGTGCTGCTCCCCATGAGATGCACATAAGTCCTTAAGAGCTGCTGAGATTAGTTCACCTTCTGGATTAGCATGCAGATATAAACCACCACCAAGATGACACTCCTTACAGGACTCAACCTCCCACAAGAGATGAAACTTCAAGTGATAGGTAGCTTGCCTGTTTTTTTGTTTTTTCCCTTTATTTCACTCCATTAGCATGCTTGTCTGAAGATTCACATTTTCTTAGCCAAGCAAAAACCAAGCATTTAGTAGAGAAGTTGGGTAATGCTACTTTACCTATCCCTACAAAAATACCTTATGGATATGATGACAGTGTGCAACAGGGGACTGCTCTGAGGCAGGAAAAGCCCTATTTTTTTATCAAACCCCTTTATTATATATTACTTACCTTAGGTTCCAGTTGCAGATAGATTTGTTGGCTTGCTCTTCCTCAGAAAAAAGGACAGATTAAACAGAACTGTTCTTAATACTCTTCTGAGGATTAGTTTGAGTGGAAGTTGTGTAAAAAGAAGGGCTTGCCAGGTTGCCTGGGAGACCTACATCCAGTCAGTTTCAAGTAATTTTCTGTTGGAGCATCTTTACTTTTTGTTTTCTAAGTTACAGTTTTCAGACTACAGAGCAAGAAGGTACAAGTCTGATGAAAAACATGTTGCTGTAACTTATTTTATTCTTCTGGAGGACTGATGGAATGACAGCTGCCATTCTGTCATGTCATTATGACATGTCCAAATAAAGATATTTATATTTTTTAAACATTTAAAGACTTCTTTTTTCTTCTTTTCTTTACTCCTTTGATGAACCACTTTAGAAAGGTATAAGCAAGTGGCAAGTTGAAACATAAGCAATGAAACAATGTGAAGACTAACTAGTGAAAGATGTGATCAAATTTCCAAGTTTGGAAACATTAAAGGTGACAATATGTAGTACACACAGAAAACTTTATAATAACAGCAGCTGTTAAAAATAGTGTCCTTTACTGTGGAATCATTTTTAAGCTCTGTCATTTAACATTCAGAAAAGGCTGAGTACACTATGATATCACTAGACATTGTAACTTTAGAAAACTTTATAGAATTGTAATGAATTGTAATAAAGTGTGAAATTGTGTTAATACTCGAAGTTATTTGATCATCACTTGGAACACACAAAATTGAGGAAAGATCCCCCACACCTGATTAACTGACAGTTAGCAAATGTGTGATGCACTAGCTGCTGCTCTCAGACGGAAGAAGTTTTCAGTTTTTGTGTAATATGGTATCTCTTCCTTCTGATTCAGGGGTCTATATTCAGGGGTTGTTCTTGGATGGAGCACGCTGGAACAGGCAAACTAAGAAGCTAGGAGAATCTCATCCCCAAATCCTCTATGATACAGTACCTGTGGTCAGTATCTTTCATTTGGTGACATTTTACATTATTGTACACCCACAAACACTGTAGAATCAATACTCAAGTTCTAGTCTTGAAAGAAGCAACAGGATAATTCTTAAAAAAGAAAATAATTGAAGTATTTTGTGTTGAAATAGAAACCTCTGCTAATAATGGCGTTGAAATTTGGTGTTGCATATTTTGGGAGAGAAAGCAATCTGCTAGGAAAGAGAAAACAAGAAACAGGTTTTCAGGGCTAAGTTAAAAAGCAAACAAACCAAAAAGCAATGTCAAAATACTTCAACCAAGCCAAGACTGTTTCCCTTTTTTAGCTGAGATGAAAAGGATTATTTTATTCCTTACTGCAGATATGGCTAAAGCCGTGTAAGAGAGCAGACATTCCACAGCGACCAAGTTACCTGGCCCCAGTGTACAAGACCAGCGAGAGAAGAGGGATCCTGTCAACTACAGGCCACTCCACCAACTTTGTCATCGCAATGACCCTCCCTTCAGACAAACCGCAAGAACACTGGATCAGACGGGGTGTGGCATTATTATGTCAGCTTAACTCATAAACATATCACAATTTATGGAGGTAGGTGCATTTTCCAGATCACTTATAAGGAATGCTTGTCAGTCCTGACATACCACATAAAAAGAGAAATCAAAATGAGTTTGTTTACAATGTTGCATTTGTGCCTTTCATGAGATTTGAAATAAGATGCTAAAATACAAATGTGCACAATAAAAACTTACAAAAGCCAACAAAACTATCTGCTCCTTGAATAATTTTATTTTCTGAAGGCTCCTTATTTATAAGGAACATACATAAAATGAACACAACACTGTTGACAATGAACAAAACAGCATTTGATCATTTCCAGCTTTATAAAATTTTAAAAAATGATTTAGTTATAACAAAAAGACTGATAGCTCAGCAAGTTATCTTATAGGACTGTAATCACATTTTAAACCATAGACTCAATTGTTAATGGGGAAGGGAATGAAAAAAAATTAAAAAAAAAAAAAATCACACTGCATCTAGCAACTACAATATTTTCTAAGCATAATCACAGAGGATTGAGTGCAATGTGATCTACATCAAAAGTCATATGGGATGTCACACAGTGACAGCATTGTAATATACAAGTAACATTTATGCCCTCCAACAAATACAAGTTAAATGAGACTCTGGATTCAAGCAGAATGGAATGTTGAAGCCAAGTAGAAATGTAGTGGAATTCAGATTGTCTGTAACATGACTCAAAAGTGTACATTAGAATCATTTGGAATTCAATACTGGTGGAAACATATAGAAGTCAGCTGTTACACTGCTCTTCACAACTTGTAATAAATACTAGAAAATAAAAGGAAACAACCCATATTTAATGAAAAATACAGTACCTACCTTCAAGGACCATGTTTTTCCCTTGTATGAAGATGGTCTTGGAAGGCAGATAACTATTTTCCTATAGAGGCAGTGTATTAATCTATAACCATATTCCAACTAATACAAAAGTAAATATACTACCTGAAATATAGATATCTTCATTTGAAAAGAATTAAAAGAAATAAACAAACTTTAAAAAAAGGATTTGACAGAATATCACTTCAACCACATAATGACCTCCTTATACTTGACAGAATTAACAGAAAAGGTAAATTGAGCGTCAGTTTAATACATAAGAAACATAGGTTGTTTAAACTTAGATCCTCAGAAGGTATCCAGTCAGTTAAGTCTCTTTGAAAATGGTACTCAGTGACCTAACATGGGCACTATGAAAAAATGTCACCCAGGATCTTTACACTGCAGAAATTCAGTAATCTGAAGCTAACAACACTGTGTTTGCTAATTGGGGTCCCACAGTAAACATCTTTAAAGAAGAAAAGAGAAAACCTGAGTTCAGAGCATCAAATGGCTGCATGCCTGAACTCTGGGCTTTTGGCTTCTTCACTGAAGAAACTGTGCCCTTCTTTGAAATGGACCCTTAATACTGTTTCTTGATACTGCATTAGGAAGAAATACTGGCAAGAACCAACCGATATCTTTAAAATGCATAAGCTGCTCTCTGTAAGAACTAAATTGACCAATGAAGCTTCAAAAAGTAAAGGGCCACAGGAAACACACATTAACTTGAAATGGAATGAAGATACCAACTGGCTCTCATTAAAGGCGTTAGGATCAGTGTTTTAGCAGCTACATTGGCACCAAGCAGACCGAAACAAAACTTACGGCACATAGTCAAAATACAGCTTTTACCTGGCATACACGTAAAAGAAGACGAACTGTATGTTTTAAAAAAAGCTACTACCATGCTTAGGACTGGTACTACGGAATCAACTTGCGCTCCTCACAAACTCACAATTGTTTTTAAGGAGATGGGTACAAGAAGAACTGACTCATGTCTGGCAATATAAGCATGTCAGCACAATCCAATCTAGGACAGCTGATCCCAGCAAGTTAAGGCCCAAATTTTCAATCTATCCTTCCAAATTACATAAACCATGGATCTATCGCATCTGCTTTTTAATAATCTAATTTAAATACCAAAATTGTAAAAAAATATCATAGAAATGAACTCCTTTATGCTGGAAGTAGAAATCTTCTTAGATACTCTCTACTGCCAGAACTGGCTGGTGCTACAATGTCTGATACTGAGGCATTGTAGAAACAGGTTTTGATCTGATATTACAGTATTGTAAATAACCTACCAGTACTACATACACACAGCATACTTTAACCTTTGTGCCTGGCTTCAGTAACTAGCATCTTGCACTTTGGATTATTTTAACATGAAGAGGAGAAAACAGTCCAAAATAATTGTTAAAAAATGGAGAAATTCCCATACGGATTCTCTGTTAAAAGAGTTTGCACAAATTCACAGCCACAATTCTTCAGTAGTTTATGCTGCAAGTGGCACACAACACATGTTTAGCATCTGTAAAAAAGAACCAGAAATAGCTCAATAACTCCAACGTCAGGGATTTCCTCAAGCTAACACTAATTCTACTGCATTTTGCATTTTCCTACTAATATCAAGGAACAAACATCAAATAAATCTTAGTCAGGAAAAACATTATCAAACTGATCCTCGACAGAACACAGCACTTTGCAGTGTATATTGCAACAGCCTGCCTTCTTACACATCAGGTTTATAATGGTGTGCAGCTTAACGCATACTCTAAGAATTTAAACAGTGTTTAGGTTTTGGGTTTCTTTTTTAAATTTAAATCAGCACAGTGGTTTCCAGTCATGTGCTGTTATAAAATTTAATACTTCCAAGTCACCACTGTGCAGAAGAATCAGTACAGAATGAATATACATATATACACACACATATATGCATGCGTATCTGTATATATCTATCTTTATATCTATACGTAAATATATAGATGGATATATATGTGCGACTTAAGCCTTAGGTGGCACTAAAAGCTTACTCTGGTCCCTTGAAGAGGTATGAATTTCAGCTGTAATGTTTTCTGGGTTCTGTTCAAATGTATCACGGAAATGGTATTTTCCTAAATGAGTAGATCATTCACTGTACTTTTTCTTTCTTAAGCAAGCAGTGCTTTCTATATAGTACACCGAATTTGACATTTATTTCTTGTCTTTAGTATCTCCTAATTGTCGATCACTTGAGTTTAGAAGATGCATTGGGTAATATCATCTGATTTGAATTAGAAAAAAAAGCAGAAGTAAATCTACATGAATACACTGGACTTGTGTAAGTAGTGCAAGCCACTGCTTTTCCTCTGAGCAATGTGCATACAGTGAAACAGTGCAGACTCAAAGCCATACAGTAACATTATTGTAACCACAGTGATTACCAGAATTAGGTCAAAACTGGATGTCAAGCACAATTTTATCTTCATAGAGGGCAATCACCAGCATGATGGCAAATCCAAGAAGCAGCCCTAGGTTCTGAAGAATGAACTGCCCCACTGGACAATAACCATGCTCTTCATTATCTCCATCTCCATGAAGCATTTCTGGAAGCTAAAAGGAAAAACAATTTAGCAAGTTACTTCACCCCTATTCCGTTTATACACGGACAAGTTTACAAAATGCTATTGTCAAGAATAAACGCTCCAGGATTCAGCTATAAAAACAACACACTAAGACAAGCTTCAACTCTACTTAACCACTATATTTGATAAAAATATGATCACATCATGTATTTACAAAACAAACTAAAAATGCCTTGCCTTTCCTTTGGACTTTTTTTTTTTCTTAAGCTTTTACTAGATCACACATCTACTTGAAGTTCCTCAAGATAAGGACCAGCCCAGCATTAGTCAACTTCTGCTCTTTCGAGTTTTTACACAATTAAAATTAAGTCATGCTCAAATAAACACAATAAAAACCTTTGACTATTTCTACAGTAATTACATTTCTATAAATACACCCTTTACAATGACTTTGCTGATTAACTTATTTGTTTGTCATGTTACATACTTACACATATTCACCTGCATGTCCCTTTTAAATATGGGAAAAATAGCTACAAGTAATTCAAGAGAAATTCTGTGTGAAACTACAAAAAATTCTGAAAGATCTGGACATTCCTTATATTCCCCGCCTATGAAGAAAAGTCAAATAGTACTGACAAAAGCAATAAACAAATGATAGGGAACTTGGACGATGTAAAAATAAATCTTATGAAGTGTCTTACAAAGTCAACCATACACAAGAGAAATTAATTAATTTCTTTATAAAACATTTTAAGTTAAGAAAGCATAAGGTAAACTAAGGAATTCCTTCAAGAGACACTTAATACAGGAAAATATAATGCAGAACAAAATGGAAACTTCGTAGTACACAGCACAAGTCTCTATTTATCTGCTTTTCAGTAGATAGGCCAGAATAGTTTTGGTTATTCTAAATACCTGAATACTGCACAAGAGACAGTGACAAATTATCAGAGTATCAAATCTGCTGAAAAACCAAATATATCACCCATCTGGTCTTGTATTACAGTATTTAAAAAAGATACATAAAGCTGATAACTAAGGTGACCCACTGAGTATTTAAATACAAAAAAGATAAAACTGTTGTGAAAAATTTTTATCACCTATACAATACACCAGGCAGCTTAACAGGAAGGACTACACCAAATTACAAAGTACCGTTAAGTCATTAAGCATAAACAAAGTAATCACAGACTTTACCCTACTGAAGTCTGATATATAGGTCTCATGTTGGCAGGCAAGATTTGTTGCAAAATAATTTTCTTTTTAATAAGTCAGAGTTGTATTCACCAAGTAATACAAAACCTAATCAGAGAATTGTGCTAGAAATACTGCTTCCAATTCTCACCTTCATGTTTTTTGAATGGAAGATCTGCATGTAATTCGAGTTTTGTGATCTACGTCTACAGAGATATAATACTGCTGTTCCAAATCTAAAGATGCTCTTAAGAATAATCCAAGGATATTCTGGCGTCTGTTTCAAAACCTAGAAAGAGCACAGTGCTCTGTCTCCATAATTTCTGGTCACTGACATGAAAAAGGAGAGTACGATGAGTAGAAATGGAAGTCAGCTACAGATAGTGACAGCTGCCATATAGTCCCCAAAGTGTGGAACTAGTACAAGACCCCTTTAAGATAGGTTATTTAACAGTAACCTGTACTATGGGCACACTCTCCATCACCATCTTCAAGATACTTGCTTATTTTTACTGTCACCATATCTGAAGAGGTGTGCTCATGCTCCTCTTTCTTGTATTCAGAGCCTGAGTAGGCAGGCTGAGCAGGCCAGGGCCACTCTGCCTTCCCTCAGCTGCAGAATCCCAGTGTAGAAAGGGTCCTGGAAAGACTCTGAGAGGGAAGGAGGAAGGTGGAAGGAGGCTCTGCACTGCAAGAAGTTGTTATTGGCAAAAACCCCTCCTTCCATACAGTCCACACAAACGTTAGCACTGTAGGAACCCCATGCATATTCCTTTTTACCTGGCGGCAAATGTCCTTGAACTACCTCATTTGAATAGGTACTGCCCAACTGCTCTACACAATTCTGCTTCAACTCTGATGTCTCTGCAATGCTGCAGTAGCTAAAGGAGGTAGAAACACAACTTCAGGCAGCAGCTTGGCAGGCATGAAGATGACATTTTTCAGAGAAGCCACAGATGCTTTCTGAGATCTGGTGGAACATGTTCTGGATGAGAAAAAGGGCTTCACCTTTGTATTACTATAATGGGCTTTAACACTGTCAGTTATCTGCTTTGATAGCATGTCTAAAGATTAGTAAACTTTTTGCTTTATTAGCTATTGATGTGTCCAATTTCAGAGACCATATAAAGAGTCTGGTCCCATCAACAGAAAAAAAAAAAAATACCCTCTTGATGTTGAAAGCTTATAGTTTCAGCCCTAGAGATATAAGGAATGAAAAATATAACAGATCAATTTATTTTCCAGTAAGATGAAATTTTCAAGTTGGACTGGGAAGAAATATAGGAACATTCAGTGTACCCACTCAGACCAAAACAGCAGTGTCAGGAAGGAGGATATTATGATTACACTTCTGATTGATAGTTATCACCAAATGAAATGTCACGAGAGATCCTGGAAAGCCAGAAGGATTTAGAAAGGCCTGAGTCTAGGTTCCACTGGAGAGGAGTATCCTTATCATTAGAAAACACATAGTTAGACAAGCTTCAGGACAACTGGATGCAAAAATACCAAAAGGTCCATTCTTAATGGGCTGGTATAAGGAATGGATAGAAAACTGAACCTAGGTGAACCTCTGTCATACTAGGGAGGGATCAAAATCTGTTCTTACTTGGTGTCAAATAACAAGGTTTTTGAGAGGGAGGCAGATTATGGAAACATCAAGACAAAAATCTGGTACAGTTTCAAGTGTGTCTTGCAGAACCTTTTCTCCTCTTGCTTAGTCAGACCATTGAGCTTTGACTATTTGGTTGCTACTATGATGACTGAGGAAAATGAATAAAAGATTGAAAATACTGCTTTCCTTTAAGCATGATGTCTTCAGTCAAAATAAGTACAGGAAGTAAGTATCAGCCACAGGACTTAAAAGCAAGTGATATTTCATTAATTACAGGCTACTGTAGAACATCTAAAGATGCCTGAAGGATCATGCTCAACTACACAGACACTCTATTCAGCAAGCCCTGAAAAGGACTTCCTTACCTTCTCATAGATTAGTACGACTTCATCACTATATTGTGTTCACAAATTTGAGTCTCCAAGAAGAAGTGAAATACCTCATGGTGTGATGGCAAGTGCTTGGCTTCCATGAGTCCTAGTCCTAAAGGACCTAATGGCAAGCCGGACTGAGTGAGATGAAGGTCACAGGAACAGCCTCCGCCACTGTGTCCTGCCTTGACCTGTGCTCAAGCCCCCATTCAATGACTACTAATGGGACTAACATGGGATCTTTAGAACCAAAGGTGAGTTTAAGAGAAAGTTCTCAGATGTGGAGGATGCCACCTAGAAGCAAGCTGGAAGCCCCACTGACACTTGGCTTTTTAAGCACCAACGTGGCAGTAGTGCTGAACGCAGAAATAACTGCGGAGGTAAATCTGCTAGAGGGCAGAACAGCCAAGACAGCTTCTGCTGATAACAGAAAATCCAGCAGAAACCAAACCCTCGCTTTCAGAGGTTCTCACTGCTGCTTCAATGATACCACTGAGGCTGAGAAACTAGACTGAGCAGCCATGGCTAGGAACTGGCAACTATTGACCACGGCAGCGAAGGGGAGAGGGATCTTCATAATGACAGCTGCTTTAGGTAGCACTAGGGAAATAATACAATCAGCCCACACCAGAGCGGCCATCTGACAGCCTCACAGGCGGAGATCTGACAAAGATGTGATGCTGTTTCCACGAGAATTGCGGAAACCCGAAGTCTGTGTCTGTGGCTAAAAGTAACTGACAGATAACTGCTTGCTTTGACAAGTCAGACAGTGAGAGTCAAACACACGTTTCACTCCTGCACCAATTAACTTTTGAGGAAGCTGCTAAAAAATGTGGTTTGAAAACAGGATACTCGGCACAAATGTATGCAGGAGACCAGAACTAGCAGTGTAGGCTAACAGAGCTACTAGATATGGCAACAAATCTTGGAAGAAATCTGGAAAGTTGAGGAAAATGCATGGTTTAAAATACTTCAGAACAGTCAAATACTCCATTTTACCCACAACTGATAACTCAAACAAGCTGATCCCCATTCCAGTATACCCAAGCCTCTATGGAGATCCCACAAGGTTAAACAAAATCTCTACCAGAACATCACTCAAAGCCAGAGCTCCAGGTAAATTTAAATATTTTTCTATAAGCAGTATGTAGCCACATCAGGTGATCCAAGCAGCAATCTACTGATAATAGGTAGATGGCTACTTAGTCTGTTTAAGGAGAAAGATAACAGCTGTACTGTACTGTCTGTACTAGGAGAGAGTAGTTTGTGAATGAAGCAATGGAAATCCAGGGAGCCTTTCCACAAAAAGTTGTCTGCACCCTTATGAATTAAAGCTACAACTAGGTTGGAGTTTCTAGCCTAACTGGTTAATAATTTACATGAGATCTGTCCTTAAAATCCAGGGAAGTGATGCATTTTTTTTCTCTATAGTAAAGCAGAAAGAGCATTAGAAAATACCCCCAAAATTAAAACGGATCTCACCATCATTGGGCTTGGAATAGACAAGAATTGAGAAAATTGGCTTATTTAAATGCAGCTCTGAAGGTGATTAGGAGACAAGTAAGGATTGAATATGGACTGATACGACGTGTGCATTCCTGCCTGAAGAATCTGGATCTATGGGGTACACAAACTAAATATAATGCACCTATATGCTCTTGGAGCAGCAGCGTTTTTCCACCAGGTAACTTTTAAAAATTCTAATCACCACAAGAGCTATGTGTTACCAGTTGCTCATCTTAAAGATTCAGACTAAGCTTTCCAGAATCAAATATATGAAGATTAAATTTTAGGGAAGAACAATTCTAAATACTGGATGAAGATTAAATTTTAGGGAAGAACAATTCTAAATACTGGATTGAACTCCAGTGTCTGTGGATGACACTCCAGTGGATGAACCAGAGAATCATCCTATTTTTATCTGTGGGAAGTTATTATTTTTAGTAGTTTATTAGTGGGAAATGAGAGTGTCTTCCCCAGCCCCCCTGCAGTTTTTGTATTTTAACAGGAGTCAGACTTCAGTAGCAGAAACCCAAATGGGCAAGCAACTCTAGAACTTCACTACATCTCTCAAAGTATCTGTAACATTTTAAAAATCAGGACAACAGAAACAGCCATCTACTGCCTACAGATATTTTAATTACATGTTATCACAAAAAACGTTCTGTCATAGAAGCCATTTCAAATCCTAGGTTTTATGCATGGAATGCAAAAATGTCAGAGAACCGTAACAATCTTACCATGTCCACCAGTGCCACATAGAGGAACATGCCTGCAGTGATAGCGAAGATCCACAACGTGATGTTATTAGCGTACTGTCCCACCGCCGTGCCTATCAGCATCCCCACGTAAGCCATCATGGCAGACAGGAGGTTGTACACAATCGCTTGCTTTACTGTCATACCGGCTTTAAGCAGCACAGCAAAGTCACCTAAAATGGAGACAGAACACAGGGGTTTAGTACCAGTGCTTCTTGGGAGAGTAAGTAGAGAAATTAGCCTGCATTTACTACCACACCAATCCAAGGCACTGCCAAAGTAAAAATGCTGCTACAGACACTCAAAGGAAGACTGGGCAACAGGGTGTGACAAGTCTCACAAGAGCTGTATTTATGTGCAGCAATCCCTTGAGTAAAATATGATTTAAAGGTGCCTATTCATCATGGCAATTGTCACAAAGGTAATAGTGATTAATGGTTAAAGGTAAATGGAGGAGTCTAGATCTGGTCCTCCCACAGAGAATACATCTGTGCATACAGACTTGTCTTTATCTCACCAATGTTCTTCATGGCACATAAAAACATAAACCGCTTGGTTTTGATCAATACCTGTGAAAATTCCTCTTAGCCATATACATACACCTCATTCTCCAAGTTCAAGAGAATGATAACCAGGCATCAGTCCCCACAGAAGGTGACAATAACTTCAAGAAATATAGCACTAGGCAAAGGAGGAGTTACATTTGGCAAGAATGACTTCACATCCATACTGAATCAGTTTTCTCGTTTAAGACATGCCAGGTTAGCCTGTTCTATTTTGAATTCAGGACAGCTCTGCTAGAATTACTGATAGAGGTAGATGTTCTGTAAAGATCTAAATTTTCATCTTGTAATCAGCTCTGGTATTTTAACTCCCTTCAAACTAAACTCTTGTGAATATGAGGAGTGGAAGATGATATGCAGTCACGAGGGTAATTAATATAATATTCTCATGTCAGATATGCTTAATTAATTGCTCAATCCAGAATCAAAACAAAAAACATGAACAGTGAACTATTCACTTCTTACACAAGGTTAAATCATGTTAACCTAGCAAGTTATAAGCGCACCAATATATACTGCCATCCTTTATATACTGCAACAGGTTCACAACTAACAACTGTATAGCATCATTGTCAAACCATGGGCATCTGCTCTATGATTTCTCATCTGTGCCCATTATTTACCTTATGCTTAGTATCTGTCTATATAAAATGCTTTCACTCATCACCTCTGAGGGTTTTTGAAGAACTTGTTTTACCTTACTTTTGATCATTCAGAGCTAGCAGCTCATCAAGTAAGCAAGCTGTGAGTACATACACAGTTTAATCTAGCACAATTTCACATTACTGGCACAGAAGACAACTTCAGGGTGCACTAAAATTTCATGCAATGTGCCTTACAGCTCACAGGAAGACACAACAGGTTTCAACATGGTTAGTTAACCCCAAGAAGAAATGCTTCAATTAGGGGGAAAGAATCAGTGGCACTGGCAACAATGCCTACAGGCTTTACCCTAAGTAGTCATCGGCATCTACTGGACTCAGCAACAATTGGTACAAAGCATCTTCCAAAGATCTCCACAATGATTTTTACTTATGTAAACTTCTGTTTACTCATGTAACTTAATATTGCGTAAGACAATGCCACACAGAGTAGTGTGAAACTATCTCTATAAAATGTAGGGGTATAACACCAAAATGTAAACTGTATGCTCCTCGGAACATTTTAAAAATGTGTTCGAAAACCTGCACAGAACTGCTGTAACTAGATACATGCCAATATAGTCCTGTATTAGTATTCTCATTATGTACTCTGAAGCAATTTTGTTCCATTACTCTCTGAAATTCTGGTCACCCTTGCAGCATGTGCATTACTTTATGCTTATCAGGATGACTATCGCAACAGCTTTTAGATAAATATTTTGTACAGATGAAAAGACTGAACACAGTGAGTTTATAGAACTAGTTACCTAATTCATGGGGAAGCTCATGACAAAATACTGCTATTGATGTACTAATTCCTCCTGTCAGTCCAGCACTAAAAGCTGCTCCTAGGAAAAGAAAAAAAAAAAAAAAAGAAAAAAAAAAGAATTGAATGATATTTTATGATTTTCAAGTCAGAAAATTTAATCAACAAACTTTCCAGAGACGACACCCTTCTGTTAGAATGCACGCGCTAATATTTTTTCATGATATCTGTGTCCTGTCTGTATATAAACTGAAAATACTGGCAGTATCCTGGGTGTGCGTTACCACGGCATACTTTATTACTCAGTTTAGATGAAAGACAAATCCTGGGAGAGGAGAACACACCTGAGCAAAACAGAGACGTAAAGGCAACAAGCTAATAAATAGCACCACTTCTATATTTTTAGGAACTCTCAAGTATATCAGGACAATTAAGAATGCACATGAGCAACAGTCTATCTCTGTCCTTTCCAGGTTGGAAATCCAAACTGATGCTTAACCCATAACCTCTCTATTTTCTTTATGCTTATTTGTAGAGCACCTATCAGCAACATTAATAAGCCAGTCCTGGAAAATAATAATGAGAAAAACACTGGCATAAACCTCTTTTGGTAATTTTTGTGTAAGATAATTTCAATCAATCAACCAACCTTAAATTCATATCTTAAATAATTCTGAGATGAGAAAACTAGTATTAAATTTCTGTACTGTAGCCAAGGCTCAAGAAGAGCCTGCAGTGAGCAGTCAAACCAGGCAAAATACAGGAGAAGGAGAATGCACGATCTGAAGACAGAGGGGAAATTTAACTTTCCTCTGGATTCCTCATAACTTGATACATTAAAAAGATGAACATGCTTTTATAAAATCTACATTTTACCAAATAATCAGCCGTTTGGGCTCGACACAGAAATATTTATAAGTGGAGTTTCAATACAGTGAAGTTGTCAACAGATGGCGTAGTGATCCTTTTTGGCCTTAGAAGCCACTGTCTAAATGTCTTACCTGTTTAATGTGAAAATGAAGCAAAAAGTTAATTTCTATGGAGTTTAGTTGCTTTAGAAATTGTTTGGAGGAAGTGTAGAAACTGTAGTAGATGCCACTGTTAACTCCAGACCCCCCAGTCTTCAAAATGGGTATATGTTCCTTCTGCTAGTAGTTTAGAACCCTGTGTAGTCTTAGTAGCTAACTTAGTAAAAAATTAAAAGTATGCACTTCAGTACTCTCACCATCATTCTGACTTGTATGACACATATTCAAATTAATGTGTTTTACAGTTCAAATCACATTTAGAGGTTTATGCGAATCAAAGTTGATTTAATAAATCTAATAAAATCTGTTTCGTGCTTCAATTTCTTCTACATTTGGCTAGAGATAAATCTATACTGACCAGAAGCCAAAAACATAGTTTGCTCGAACAAAAAGGAAATTACTTAAGCAGTACTTTTTTTTTTACTACCTTAGTAACCTTATAGTACATTTATAATTTACAAGTACTGTATAATTATATGTATTAATAACAACAGAAATAGTATTATTATTATAAATAAATATAAATAAGGCTGACGGGCACTTATTCATTATTCAAAGGCAAATACTAAGACCCAAACAACAAACGTGCATTACATGTGCTCCATAATTCATAAGGAGGTGTGTCTGCACCTATCTTTATTTGGTAGATTGCTACTATCAATACAAAATCTTGGTGGAAATAGTCACAGAATATTAACAATGGGAAGACTATTACAATTGATAGCCTTTTAATTTCTGCTCTGAAGCAGAATAAACAATGCTGGTAACCACAGGAGCTAACTGGAAGCCTTACCTGTCATCACTGAGAAGTAAAAATATTACCAGAGTGACTAAAGGCAAGAAGAAACTGTTGAGAAATACTCAATGCTCCTGCTTACCGATTGCTAAGCCATCACTGAAGTTGTGAATGCCATCACCCATAATTACCATCCAGGCAATATTAGCTATCCCAGTATCTTTCAGGTCTTTTCCAGAATGACAGTGGCCATGGGAATGATGGGAATGTTTGTGATGCCAGTGGTGACTGTGTTTTCTAGCTATCATTTTATCTTCGCCGTGGCTGTCATACTCTGAATCATGAAGATCGTGCTCTTGAGCGGCACGTGAGACATCGTTGTGAGAATGGTGCATATTGTTGTCCTCTTCTACAGACAAGAAGTTTTTGGGAGGGGATTCCAGCTGGCCATCTAAATCAGTTAGTTCAGTTTCATTGAGTCGATCTTCAGATAAAACGGAGTCGTCTGCTCCTACATTGAAGCCAGTTGGGAGAGACACTGCATTAATTCTCATTTAAAATACCACCAGCAACTACTACATTACTGAGCTAAGAATTTAATTTTGCTCTGCAAAAGCAAAAAAGGTATTTTGATACATCCCAATCTGGTAACTTTGTTGTCAACATCCAGCCAAAAAACTGAATCTCTCACTGCCCCATTTTTTCACTAATTTGCACATACAGCATACAAAAGTCTCCACTACAAGGCAACAGCACCTAGGCTTGTATCTGTAATTTTGCTACTGACAAAGTTTATGGTTCAACATTGGAAAAGGACAGTTGCCAGAATGATAATAACGTCTTACATGCAGTAGATGGCATCTGAATGGCTCAGGAAACCTTATACTGGCTACTCTCTACGCATGCCCATACAGGTCACAACGGAGCCATCGCTGAAGCATATCAGGATCTGCCACTGACACAACAGATCTTTAAATACATTCTGTATTGCATGCATCTTTGTGTGAGAGACTTGTGCCATCCAGTGAGCTCCTTCAGTGTAGCTCATTACCCTACTAGCAATCAAAGCCATTTTTACAAAGAAACAAAAAGTGAAAACAATGCAGAAGGCATACATGCATGAATTTTAAGTCTACTAATATTTATGAAGTATTAATAAATGAATGAAACTGGCAATCTATGCTCCAGGAAACAAAACCAAATTGTAGAAAAAAAGTAGTCTGGACAATGAAGTTATCAGCTCACAATAATTCCACAAAAATATTTCAGAGTCAAAAATAAGCAAACATTAAGTGGAATTAAAAAAAAAAACAGGCACAGAGTACCTAAGCAGCAGACAAAGAGTTCTAGATAAACAGGGTCTTAAACAGCATTTGGAAGCTGTTTAAAAAGAAATGGAATGGCCATCCAGGTCAGTGGTAGTGGCACTGCAGTTCAAAATTCAAATTCATCATGGGCTTCCAGTGCCTGTAGTACGAATGATTTACTGATCAGCGGAGTGCACTTTCAGAGGAGCAGTGTTATAAAACCAGTACGTACTCCATGTTATTAGAAGCAAAATTCCTCTGATTGCCCATTAAAAGGAAATGAAGACATTTCAAATATATGTACCACCATCCTCACAGCTGAAAGTCTCTCTATGTTCTGTGTCAATGTCCCAAATCCCATTTTAAGTTGTTTGAGTGGAGAAGGCTACAGTCCTAACTCTCCCTTCTACGAACCATTCAAATTGACAAAATGGCACTGGTATAAATATGGATTCTTCCTCAACAAATTTAATTCAGCAGCCGTGCAGGCAACAGAAGGGGAAGGCTTTGAAGCAAAGCCCTTCCCCTTCCCTCAGCCCTTCGAGGAGGGTTCTACGGCATTCCTTCTGGGTACATACTGCAGGAGCATTTAGACCGTCATGAAGGAACAGTGGGTTGAGGAATATTCAGGATACTTAATTGTATTTATGAAACTAATTTTGTTTAGCCTTCTCAGCCAAACTGTAATTGATCAGAGGCTGGAATCTTCAAAGTGAAACAGATATCCTCTTTCAGGTTGTGTGTGTTCATTTTTGATCCAATTTTTGCCAGGGCTGAACTAGTTGGGCACAGCTTAATCAAAAAACACCCCCAAAACAAACAAATGAAAAAAACCCCAAAGAACCACAGCCACCCAAAGCCTGAACGCTTCAGAAGTCTGAGAACCATTTGTATGGCATATTAGGAAGTGTTCAAGAGTGTTCTCAGATCTAGGAAAAAAAAAAATTAAAAAAAGACTTAATAGAGAATGCCTATTAAGTCTTATTAACAATGATTTGCATAATAGCAGCAAAACTCTACAAGAGGTTACATGCTCCATGCCATAAGTTACATGCCGTTACTTTGAATCTCATAATCTGAGAAAACTGAAAATAAATACCTACCTGCAAGGGGTTTGAGTTGAAGCCAGTCAGCATCTGGTCTATTATTTAATTTGTGATCGGAAAGTTTCCTTCCAATTGGTGATTCTTCGGTCTGTTTTTTCTTGCACCATTTCTGCTTACTCTAACAGGAAACAGATAACATCTGGTTTGTAAAAACATCGATGGAAATAAAGAAACTGAAATGTTGTCCAAAAATCTCTTCAAAAGTTATTCTCTCTTAATATGTCTAAGAGAAGTATGTGACTGCAGTATATTAATCTTTTTAAGGCTCAGCAACGATATCTATCCCAGTAGAAATTCTTAGCTACCTACCACAGAATGTCACTCACCCACAAACACATGCACACACAGACAAAACTTCACTTCAATAACAGAGTACATAATGACAAGGATTGCTCTAACAGCCCAGAAGCACAGTATGCAGATTTATTATATTTGCGTCTTTTGTTCACGAAAGCAAGCATGCCGCAAGAACAGCTCCTCTATTTGGTTCAACTTTGACTTTTTTATAGTCCTACAACTTTGTTGTATTTTCCTTTAGAGAAAAGCTTGCTGCTTTCCTTATCTGCAGCCCATACAACTCAGATCATAGATTTGCCAAAGCAACCTAAGGGATTTAATTATTTAATTAATCTCAAATAATAGATGCCCATTGTGACAGCTTGTATCTCTTTATCAGAAGATCTAAGATATGCATCTTCCAACACAGAAAATCTTTTGCTGCCTGTCCTGCTGAGGCAGCAAGTCTGATGTGGAAACAGAGAAGTTTAAAATTTTCCACACTCATTTTGGGAGAAGCAATTGCAGTTTCACCAAAGTAATTTTCTCCCTAAAGTTGAATGATAGAGGCAAAAGTTAAAAGTAGTATTTACAATTACTGTTCAAAATATACGTCTCTTCGGTGGCTTGAATTTCTAGCCAGTATCACATTCCCCCTGAGGTATACTCACTCTCCTTTTATACCACCATCATGAAAACAGCATCCTCCCAGCCCTAAACATCCAATCATTTTCAGGGAAACAAGCTAAAGTTTGACCAGCAATTTATAGAAAGTGGGAGGTCTGCAAATTTCAGCATTTTCTCATGTGGAAAAACTGAATACCTGTGTTACATTGGCGTTGTCAGTTAATAGTATACAGTTAAATTTCTTGTAAATTGTCTGACAATTGTCTGGCTCTATTACCAGTTCTTTCTTACATACTGCCTTTCATATTTTTTGAAAGAAAAAAAAAAAAAAAAAAAAAAAAAAAAAAAAAAAAAAAAAAAATCACACCCCTTTAGAAAAAGGGCTGTAATCTCTTCTACTTAGATCTACCTCTAAATATATCTGGCCAAAAAGCTGCAACCTCCCCCATCAGATTTCTACTCTGTCTTCAAAAATTACCTTGTTAAAAAAAGCAACCTCTTCTAGAAAAGGGTTTCCTCACATAAAATCGAATAGAATGCAGATTAGCTGCACCTGTTCACATTCACAGAATAATGACTCATCATACTCATTGAGACAATTCCTCAATGCTTAGAAGATAACTTCGGGTAATATATTTTAAAATAGCATGGAATTTTAGTGCATACCTTCTGTTTATTGTAATGCTTGTACATTCTTATACAGTGTTCAATGATGAACAAAACATAAATGCCTCCGAGTGCCACAAGACCTTTCAGCACTGGATCATTTTCTTCTAGAAAGCCTTCAGCCTGTACTCCATGTCCGTGGGCATGTCGATGAGAACGCCTGTGTTCATGAACATGACCTTGGCCATGGTGGTGACTGTGGTTGTGGCCTCCATGTGACTATTAGGAGAGAAAATAATAATGCAGCATGACCTGGTGCAATCAGGAGACTGACATGGCTCTGAGCTTAGATGACAAAATATGTAACCTTGCCAGAAAAGTAACATAAAAAGAATAGTTGGGTTGTGGAATTTTTTTTTTAATTTTTTTTTTTTTTTACAGAAACACATTTTACCACAGCTATTCATTACCCTAATCAATAATAAAAAAAAAATTCCTCTGGGAAATTTTTAGGGGGAGAGTGGGAGATAATCTAGCTTCAGCTTTTTTCTGTCACAATACTGAAGATAATGAGATAACACTCAGAAATGTCACAAGGAATTACCATTCCTACACTCCCATTAGCAACCAAACCTCATGATTTTTTTTAACTATTACAGTCAATTACAACCTTAATTCCGATCTGAAATACAAACTTTCAGAAAAACTACATGACCAAAAATTTGTATTAAAATTTACAAAGAAAACATGTAAACATTAGTCCTTTTGCTAAAAAAATTAAGGTATCAAAATTTAGAAGACATTTCCCCTTCTAAGAATTACAGTATACTATCCCAAATTAAAAACTGCTTACCCTCCCAGGAACTTGGACAATTTCTTGCTTTAGAGGTTACTTCCTCCCCAAAAGCTAGTAACCAGGAAGGTTAATCCCCCTGAAATACTTTTAGGTCTTACTGATACACAAGTACCAGTAAGAGACAGTAATACTGCTAAATTTAAAGTAGTCTTGTTAGTCTCATTAGATGGTTTAGAATACTGTGACAGAAAACTATGAATACAGAACTATTTTTTTTTAATTTTTTTTTTTAAAGAAACACACATTTCCTTTCTTTTTGTTAACAGAAAATATCAAACACTGTTTCAGGATTTTCCTCATAGTCAAGTCAATCTACATCTGCTAAACAAACATTTATTTGTTGATACTTGTCAAACAATTCTTTGAAAAGTCTATCTTCAGTTACAATTAAGAATAAAAGGAAGCAATACTTACATGTGGCAACAGATGGAGTAGTGCATCTCCACTCATTGTTCCTACAGCCAGAGCTACCAAGAAAGTTAGAAGAAATTTGAAGCACCATTGGTTAATGATGGGAACCAAGATCACACCTAGCAAGGAAAGCAGGCTAATGACGGTGATAGAGATGATACCACAAAACCAGGCTGTGGGAAGAAAATGAATACAGAAAGGTTATCAGAATAATACTTACAAAACTTTTACTGACTTATTAATGACTTTCAACTATCTCTTAAGAAGGTGACTTTCCTTTAACCCAAGTTGTGCGAAAATATGATGAAAAATATGAAGGCAGTACTGAAGTCCACAGTCAAAAATACATTGGCTTATTCAGAGTACAGTATAATATAGTGAAAGACAGCAGACGACAATCAGCTAAAAAGAGCCCAGCAATTCTTCTTGACTGTAAATTCTAGGCTTAGCTCTGTAGCCCTTAATGAAACACAAAAAGGAAAAGATTTGATGCTGGAACAAAACCATCTCCGCTACTTAACTTACTAGGGCTCTACGAGCACTAAGTCGTATTTAACATTTGTTTTTAACACAATTCAGATGCAAAATTTAACTGGAATGAATATTTTCTCCTCCTTTGTTAGAAGCAACATGTTCAGTTAGGCACCATTCATTTCACCTGAAACATACATTTTATTTATGAGAAGTAAGAAAGACTCAACTTTTGACAGCGGAACTTTAAAATCAAATGCTACATCAAGAGCTTGAAGAGCTGAAAAGCAACTTGTTACCAACAAAAAGCAGTATATATTTTTTCTGAGAACCTTTATTGTTGTCATTAGAAGAAAAAATTAATAATGGGATATGGTACACTCAACATAATACTGTTGATTTTGGAAGATGAGCAAATTTCTGTATGACACATGAAAGGAGGAATTGCACAAGAAATAGATCCTATAAGCAAAGAAGCATGGCTGTTTGCAGTCAGCATCTCTAATAAAATATTTTTTCTTCTACTTTTTCAAGTCATCAGTAAGGCTAAGAATTAAAAACTGTTGGATTTTTCCCCCCCCCCTCTCTCTCTTTGTTTCTCTATCACTTCTCTTGTTTTTTCCCATTAGAGAAACTTCAAAGAACACTAAGTAAAAATGATTTAATTCCAAGAATACAGTTCAAAAGTTTCACAGTCCCAAAGACAGGAATAGTTGGTGCTCCTGTTTTACAAACATTAACTGTTTGCTGAGATCTCTCATGCGTATGATTTCCTCAATCTGGACTCTTTTTTTTTTATTTATCTATTTTAAATTTTAGCCTAAATGCTTCAGGATTTTCCAGGTTTTTTTGCTAGCTTCATTCTTAACCAAAAATCTCTACAAAGTTTGCCAACTTTCACGAAAGGTATCAACTCCTGATTTAAAATCATTAGCATTTCCATACTTTGCTACGTGATCTGACTTTCCTTACATCTGTGAAGGTCCACACATTTTTGGTCAAGTGGGGGAAAACATCCTTGGAAATGGGGGGAGAGGAGAAGAGAGGAGAAATCAGTATGTTGTAGCTGCTCAATGAATTTTATAATTTAGCAGTCAAATGTCCCAAGAATTCTATCTATACCAAAAATGCTACAGATCAGATTTGACAAGACTTTGCCACTAGAACCGTGGCTGCTGCAGGCCTGGTCTAGTTCAACACCAAAATGCTGTTTTAAATTTTATTTAGGGATATTCCTTCTTACAAAGTCTGTTATTTCACCATAGTGCAGAAAAGGAAATAATCCTATTCAAATGCAAAGGGTACAAGAGCATATCCACCAGGAGAAACTGTTTGGAAAAAGTTTCAGAAAGTATGCAGCATACACTGAAATGCACATTGATACTGAGAGGAAAAGAGAGAGTTGGTGAAAAGATAAAGACTACCATCAGATGAGGAACTAAAAAACAGAGGTTGGAAAATGGGAATACAAAAGTAGGTCTAGAGTGGGAGCATGACCTGCCAACCAAAATACTGCCACCGCACAGCCCTGATTCATCCCCTGAGCACTCCCATCACGTACTTTGGATTAACAGGCTCTGCTGAAAGAAACAGCATATATGGACTTGTAATTCAATACTGAATCATGTGTGCACACACAAGTAGTCCAAATAAAAATTACACAGCCATTTGGCAGGACATTTGGATCTGCAGTCTGGACACATTTGATGTTATGACACAACATTATGATGTTAAATGCCAGGTTAGATGACCAACAGCCTTACATGGAGAAAAATGGAAAAGAGATTATGCAAACTGGCTTAAGTTTCAGATATCATCACACAGCTTTAGCAAACGCATCTCTGAAGGGCTTACATACTGTTACGAATGATACAGTATCTAAACAGGGCACCATGATTAAGATGAGGCACATGAGAATTAGAATGTGGAATCTGTGCAACTCTCAGATCTTGGTTGTCAGCTTCTGTCTCTGTTTAAACTCTTAAAAAATGGTATGGAACCAAAACTGTCAGCAAAAGGTTGCTGTCTAGTCAAAGACAAAAAAATCTATTATATATAAAAGCTCTGCATGACCCCACAGTTACATAGATGTACAAACACTCCTCATGTAAAAGGACTACTAAGGAAGACTTATGACAAAACTGTGATACACAGTTTTATTGAAGGATTTCATTCAACTGTAGTGTTCAAGATACTAAAATATTACGGAAGTGTAACTAATATGAAATATTATGAACACTGCAAGAGCCCTTAAGTTATAAAAGATCCTGGTGTATAACACTTCTAGATATACTGTATAAAGTTTGGTCAATGAGGTGAAGTTATCATACACTGGCTTATAAAATACTTCTGTGGAAAAAAACAAGAGGCTAGTGACTGAACAATTTCTCCAGTAAGGGACCTCTGTTCAGACAGTGGGTAGCAAACAAAACACAGCAGCTCGCATCAGATTTGGACAGCTCTCTGTAATTAAAACAGACTAAAAGAGTAGTAAAGTCAGCTCCTTGGAAGGCTGAGAATGGTTAGCTATTTGCAAGCTTTAACAAGAAAGCAAGCTAACAGAAAGGCTCCACTGAAGCAAAGCCTTCCTGAGTTTAGGGAATGGTAAGCTCCAGGGAACACTGGCATCTGCACAGGCAGATTTACAAGATATATCTGATCTGAAATTCTTTTAATCAACAGCTCTAACTGATCTCCATCTTTAAAAAAATTGCTCACTGTTTACTTGTATCACTTCTATTAGCCCGATTATCTTTTATTAGTAGGGTGTACCTTTCAAGTTGTTTAGGAGCCCTGAATGATAACAATGCTACCTCTTCCAATTGGTACCCCGTGAAAGCTCAGTTGTACGTACAAGCCCTTGAAAACCCCCATCAGAAGACGCTCCAGAACTATCTGTAAATCGCAGTAAGAAAACCCAGCACAGCTTTGTAAGTTTTTGGTCACCAGTTAATTAAATTACTTTGCTTTAGAAAACTGCACTATCAGAACTAATGAAAACCTTACAGGTTAGTATCAATGAATAGAAGCAGCATGGGTTTATTTTGGGTTTTTTTGAAAGCCTTAATTAAAACTAAAGAAAACCACAGAAAGCTGGTGTTTAAAAAAGTCTGTATACTCCTAACTTTGACAAATATTTCTACCTAAAAATATTTACATTAGGTCAGGTAAGCGCACGTTTTCATTTTAGTAGAATCCTACAACTTCCAGGTTGGTTTATTTGTCCTACAGCTCCCACAATCCACAGATACCAGTTAAGATTTGTTATTTTGCAATTCACTTCCTTACTTAATAGAAGGGAAAATGATTATTGCATCAACTGAAGCCTCTCTGTAGTTAATACAACACTATACAGAAAACTCTTATGAAGAATGATTTATCATTATCTAATCAAGTTGAGCTGTTTTAGATGTTACTGTTTGTTTTCAGAGCCAAATCAATAAGTTAAAACCCAATTTTTTACAATTAGCTGGCAAATGTGTTATTTATAGTCAAGATATCAGATGCCATGAAACATGTTAAATGTTCACAACAAGCTTCACTAATTTTGCAAATTAAGTCTCTTAAAATGTTAAAGGTCTTCAAGCTGAGTTATTTAATATCAACTCCCTTACTCATTACAGAGAAAGAAAATGCATTATTTTAAAAAGAAGCACTCATCTGTAGAAACTTTCTAATTAAACTGATTCAAAGCATGTGCAACATGACACTTTTGTACGTGGTTTCAACATTTTAATTGGCAGAAAATGCTTAGAGCTACTCTAGAAATCCTCTTGGTAATAAGGCAGGGGTCAAGTCTTACTACAGTAGACTACCCCACAAAACAATCTGCTGCCATATAAAACACACAGTGTATTTGGTTTACAGCAATCTTTGAACAGTTAACAAGATAGCAGCTGTGTCACTATAGAAGACTTATATATAACAAGCTAATTATTTTAATGACTCCAGCATTGTTAAGAAAGCTTACCAGCAATGCATTCTTTCCAACAGTTACTAACACCTTTGAGAATGTGGTTACTTCAAGCTTTATTTCTAGCAATGTACTAACCAATATTCACAATTAACAATATTTTTATTTTCAAAACAAAGATATTGTACCCATTTTAGATTTTTAATATTTCAACACAGCTAAACAGATCCATTATAATTTATGAAAGAGAGCAGTAGTAAACATATATTTTAAAACTATACTCAGTTATGAAATCACAACAATGAATGCTGCCCTTAAAGTAACCGCTTTAACAGCAGTAAAAACATTTTTAGCTTAGAACTATGGTAAGAAGAATAAAAAAAAGTCTACTGATTTTTACTTAAGGCACACACACAAAAAATTAAAACTGCCAACAGAGGATTTCGATTGAATACTTCTCATACGCTTAAGAGAGAAGTAGTATAGGATAACTGACACTGGCAGTCAGAAAAGGGAAGGGTTGTCAGAAATGGCAATTTAAGCGCTTTTGTATCTTGCCAGAGTCTTTATGTTTAAGTTCACAAAAAATTCTGGATATCAATTCTACAAATTTGCATTATTGCTAGACTATAAAAATGGTAACACCTGAAATCATATCTTCCAGCGAATTAACTGTGATGAAGGTGCTGTTCTCTATTCCTGAATGAATAGATCCAGGTCAAATTTATTAAGAAAATTTGTGCCAAAGTAACACTGAAACTTTCCAACTTAGAGATAAACATATGGGCCACCTCAGTCACAGTAAAAGAAAAAGACATAAAACATTTTAAATGATGAAAATAACCCAAAGTGTGGGTAGACTTGCTCATCCCTAGAGGTCATTTTATCTCCAAGAATTCTGTACCTTGCCAGTGTTCCTACTACAAGAAAGTCTAACATCTAAAGATATGTGGGAAGAATCCAGGCCAAAATGCCTGGGCCATAGACCCAATGATAGGATGTTAGGCCTCAGTGAAAGAAGGTGAAAAAAGAAATAAAAATAATCAAACATAAAAGTGAAAATAATGAAAAAGGATAAAAAGGTACAAGTAAGAAAGGCATGCCTCCCTGAGCCATGGTTACTTAGGAGAAGCTGTTACACCACCAAACAGGATGCTATGCCTCCTGACTAAGGGAGCATGCCGTCTCAAATTTCTTCTAATAAATATGCTAAAGATCAACCATTCCTTTAAAGTAAATGTTAAGTTGTATGACATTTCAAGTTTTGAAGTTAATATTGACAATGCAAAATAATTTTGAAGGCTTTAGACGTTACACACCTACCTGATGCACCAGTTTTATCTTTATTCTCAATTGATGCGTTTTTACTTTTCATGAAATCTTCGAGCTCATCATAATGTACAATACAAAGCCTTCTCTCAATCTGGTATAGCAAAGCAGGACACATGTATACAAACAATTCAGGAGATATTGGAGAGCTGGTTTCCAGACCATAGTACCGTAACAGCTGGGTAACGTTTAAGCACTGCAAGCAAATTGTACAAACAAAGTAAACATGAAAGCAACTATTTCATTAAAAACTACAGTAATGGAAAATTTAGCATATGATTTGAGAACAGAAACAGAAGGTAGAAACTCTGGCCCACAACATTCCACCAGCGCTAAAACATGCCTAAACTGATCTAAGTGGTTTATGAGGGGAAAGAAATAGTAAAAATATCTGCACTACAAACTCGGACTCCACAAACCTACATAACTTTTGATAAATGTCAATGCAGATGAATTTCCATATTCTTTGCTATTACACAGTACAGCAAAGAAGAAAGAATAGCATTAAAAAGTGGAAGAACATAAATCCAAAATAGGTTTTATAACACTTCTCTTTACCTACCAAGCTTCTGTGTTTGGAGTTTCACTTTTAATTCAGATTAAAACCTCAAACTCGCCACTCACTCCACCCTTTCCCGTCCTGACTTCTAGTTTAAAACCACGATATCAAAATGTCCTGCTTCTGCAGTAACCATAAGGGGGAACAGAAAATATATGTATGTTCCTGGTAGAAATAACTGATGCTGAAGGGAGAGATGGAAGAGCTTACAGTGAGCAACAGTGCTACAGAAGCTGTATCTACATTGCTTCACACTCTCTTAGGACAAAGAAATTAGAAGCACGTTGAAAAGATGCACGTGTTTATTTTAGGATGTTAATGATCTTAGATTCAGAAAGAAGTCCAAAAAAGGTGTCTGTGGGGGAAGTATTCATGCGTATTGGGAAGGGAAAAAAACCCACCTGTAAGCAGACTATCTTAGAAAGCTTTAAGGATGTCCTTTATACAGATAAACAGGCCAGAAGATAGATCTCTGAGAAAAGATGGGTGATGGGCAAACAGAAATGAAAACTCATAACCTCAAAATTGTGGCAGCAACCTCTAGCATTTTCACTCTGGTACCTGTATTATGCAATGGTCGCAAACCTGCTTCTGCATTATTTGTGGGGAGGCATCTTCAATTATCATGTAACAGCGCAAGTCAACTTACTGGTTCTGCATTTCATACTCACCTCTTCACGATCACGTTCATCTTCATTATGATCCTTATGATTATGTGTTGAAAAAAGAGCATGCTTTCTTACACTGATCTTCTTATGAGGTGCCTCTCGCTTGCTGGTATGGTGGTGTCCGTTCTCATGACCTAAACTGGAATCTTGATGTCCATGACTAGTAGAACGATCGCTACTGTGTTCATGATGATGTACATGCAGGTGAGATGCATCATGTACATGGTCGTGTTTATGAACACGATTGTGCTCATACTGATCCCCTGGATCATGATCTGGGGCATAATCCCGTGTAGCATCTCCTGAAGTCTCACTGATCTTCTTTTGCTTTTTCTTCTGTTTCCGTTGTTTTCTTTCTGGCTGATCCTGAGTTGTGTTTGTCTCTGTTGAAGGTTCATGGTTCTGTTCTCCATGTTCGCTATGACTAACTGAATCATTACGAGAATGATGTGTACCATTATGGTCATGATGATGTAGACGAGGGTGGTGGTGATGGTGATGGCGACTCTGGTCATGAATGTGTTTGCCATCATCTTTTACTGATGGCACTACCGTGTCTCTCTCAGGGTCACATTTATGATTTCTCTTTGCAGCCATACCAATCGTGGTTTGGTTTTCTGAATCTGAGTGGCTATGGCTATGAGGATGGTTATGAGAATGAGAATGCTTTCCTTCCTGTACTTCTAAAGCATATAAGTGAGAAACATGATCATGGCCAATATCATCATGATTTATCATCACTACTTTTACCTCTCCTAAACCAAGGCTTATTAACAGTTTTTCCAGGCCAAAAAAAGATAATCTTCCATTTTCACCATAACGATCAAAAATCTTTTCAATGTAGTATTTTTGTTCATTTTCAGCTTCCAACGTTGAAAATTTACTCGGCATAGATTCTGTTCCTCCATTCTGGAAGTAGGATGCATTTGAGATCTGATAGTCATTATGGTAGTGTACACGTTCCTCTTTAGGAGCATGGTCATGTCCATGGCAATGATTGCACTGATGAAATATAAATGTCAGCAAACAAATGATGCAAAATTTTGTGTGCATGTGTACCTTCATCTCTGTTTCCTACAAGAAACACAAGGGGAAGAACTTAGGTGTAAAAGCAATCTCAACATTTGTATTACATGAGTTTCAGTCTGGTATTTATTTGTAGCAACTGAATGACTCACAAATCTTTTTAGATATTGGTGTTAATAGAATAACAATTGCAGTATTTTTAGTGCAAAAATTGTATTAATATACTTTTCTTATCCAACAGTAAGACTGGCTCTGTGTATTTTAGAGATGCAGTCTTACACACCATACTTACAGCAAGTAGTTATATGAAAAAGATCAGCATTTACAGTCAGTCAGAACAGAACATTCTTTGTGCATATTTTCAGAGGCATCTATGCTTATGATAACCTATAATATTGAAATTTTTGTTAAAACAGAAATTACAAAGGAAAAAAATTTTTTAAAACAACAATAGAGTGTTTTCTTACTTATGGGGATGACAGGCAGATGTGAAACCCCCACCATTTGTTCTCTTATGTGCTGCTGAAGTACTTCCACTAAACACACACACACTGCACAATTTCCTATTTTGATTGGTAATTAGTGATTTAAAAATAAGTTGTCATTAACCAACTTCAATGTATTGAATTCTTAAATGTTTGCATTTTTAGTTCATTGACTTACACGAGTTTACTGATTTCAAAGATCTACATTGACGTTAATTTAAAATTAAGGTTATATGGAAAACGTCTGTTTATGCAGTTCAGAAAATACTGTTAATGTTGAAACGACCTAGCTCAAAGTAATTAATACTGATTATTAGAAATTATATCCTCTAGACAATGTGGTATTTTAATTTAGTATTAACTGTAAGAAACCTACTATGCAACATCAAGTAATGAAGAGACCACTGCAGGAGTCTATCTTGTGTTCAAAGTTGAAAATAAGTCACTATCTTACAAAATACAACAGCTTTATTTTGTTTACATCTGCTAGCAAAAATATATATCAAACTGGAATAATTATTATAAACTTTTAAGAAAAAAAATATAAGTTTATGTAGAAACGTTATCAAACTAGAAAGCTGAAGACAGACCAAGAACTGTACTTTATGACTTCTATTTTCTAGAGACTTATTTTAGGTAGAGAATAACCAACAGATTTTTTTTCACTCAATTTGTTCAGCTTGGTACCATGCCAAATAAAACGTGTAACATTTAGAACGGTTCTGCTAGACACATGTAGTAGATAATCAAGCTCTCCTATCAGCAAAGGAGCAGACAACAAAAAGAAAAGAAGCACGGAGCTTCCCAATCAATCTGAACAGCTCAGTGACTAGTTTGAACAGTTTAACAGCGCTGACTAAAATGGACAAAGGAAAGAAGTACAGAGGTAGGGCTTTTTACACAGAACTAGTTAAATTGAGAATATGGCTGAGAAGGAAATGAGAGCCAAGAGAAAGGATAAGGAACAGAGCTCCATCCACCCTGCTTTCTGCATACTCAGATGTTACCAAAACACTGCAGCAAACACAAGGATGTAAAGTATCAGGAAAACAGGTCAAGTATGCATCCATCTCTTTTTACACTGAAAGTATGAATTCCTTATGCCGCACCTTGACTAGAGCTGTGCCTGCCTCTACATTCACAAAGATCTAAGTGACCTGGTCAATGCATCCTAAAATGCCACCAGATTCCAGACAAGGACTGATAAATTTAGTTGTCCTTCTCAAGCTCACCTCAACTGCTAACTAAAACATGCTTTGTGAAATTGATCAGGAAAGTGCTTCGCAGCAAACCACAATCATTTAAAGTCCATTTTAATTTCCTAAAATATTAGCTTGATGTTCTGTGCTTAAGCACTTGCAACCACATTACTGCACACACAAATAAAAGGTATAAAAATCTTGGAAGGTCCTATACTCGCAACATGTTGACAGAGAAAAGGAATCAGAGGAAGAAAATGAAAGGGTTACTTTTTAATGACTGTATATAGCAAATAAATGAGTTAACACAAAAGACTGGGGAAAAAGTTTTTCCTGTTAACCTCTGCAAATACAAAAGGTGAAAATTTGCTTTTCACTGGAGCTTCAAACACTTAGATTAAAAAAAAAAAAAAAAAAAAAACAGAATTCTCTTTGACCCAGTTACAAATGTCAGATCAGAAGAGTATCTGTCAAATGGATGCATCTGATCAAAACTGATTCCATGGGCATCAGAGAGGTCAATGGGTAATCACTGTATACTACTGTTTTATTTTTATAGACAACTGTTCAATCATCAGCCTGGAATGACCAGTTTGTCTCCAGTTCAGTCACCTACATTCTGGTTACTGATTTAAGGGCTGTGACAAACCTGTTCAAGTAATTTAGTAGGATGCATTCATCCCCAGACTGTACCGAGATATTATTTTCATATCTTCTTCACTCACAGACTCTATTTAAGACATCCTTAATCTCTTAAAACACCCTTAAATACATCACTGGGATTAGTAAAGAAACACTAAAAGCATCTCAAATCACCTTCTGGCAGCTTTTTCCACTCTCCTTTAAGGAAACAAGTAAATTCAAAGTTGTTACTGGTCGAGTAAAAAGAAACAGGTTGCAAATCTGTATCACTGGACTGAGTCAACCCTCAGATTGAACGATTGTCTAGAAACTCATTCCATAACATTTAAGTAAAGAACATATGTCTTTCTTACACGTGCTGAGAACCTCGACTCTGTGATTTACATCATCCCAGGAAGCAGAAACATTCTGGCAGCAAGTAAACGTACTGGATCAGTAGTATGACTGGTGACAGACTAACAGAGCTCTACATTTCTACAAGAATATGCTGATTTTCATCAACCGAGGATTTACAATGTTGATTGTTACTGAATGTGAAGAGCAGGTTCAGGATCTAGAATAAGCAGTTAAGGCAGATGCAAGACAAATTAAAGCCCCAGGAGAAAGACAAACTTATATATGCTTGCACAGAAGATGGCAGCAGCAGGTAAATACATGCAGTATACTCCAATGCTCTAGCAAGTTGTTCACTATCTTTTTAACTTCAGTTTCTCAGTACTGAATGCAGCATCCCAAGTTTAAGTGAAATTCAGTTACTCAAAGGATACTACTTTTTTTAGGTAAGATACCTTTTCTTCCCCTTTGCCACATAATAGTAATACAACCAGAACAAGCAAAGTCAAATTGTTCTCATTTAAACAAGCACGATCCAGACTAAAATATCTCTACCAGGGAATTCATGACTAAAGCATGATCATAATCCTTTTCACAACCTCATGATCTTTTTCATGTGACTGTCTCATACAATACTACTAATACATTACTTTGAAACTTTAGTCATGCATCCCTAATTGTTGTATTTGGCTTTGAATGGTACCTTTTCTCCATGCCCTAATGGTTAAAATCGTTTGTAACTTATGATCATGATTCATTGTTGAAATACAGGAGCTGAGCATTATCAGACCGATTTCAAAATCAATTAGATGCCTCATTATTTTCAATTAAAATAGTAATAACCCTAGCTCAATATTTTTAATCTTCTATTATATAATCTTCTGTATCTTCTATCATAATTCTTATTAGAGAACAAAGATGCATACAAAACAAACATACCCATCACAAACAGTCCCAAACAGAAAACCACTGAGAGTTGATTATTTATTTGTTTCTTTTTAAACAAACTTCATTATTCTCTAGGCAATTATAAACAGTTGTCATCTCTAACCTGTTCGCATTTGTACGTGTAAAACACTGGAAAGCTGAAGTCCAAATTCTACACATTTCAGTGGCACAGACTTGTATATAGCTGATCTCAGTATCGAAAGTTAAGACTCTTGAATACCTTCAAAAGAATATGAAGGGGCAGCCAGAGGACAAGGCTACACCAAAGCTAAAGAAGATTCTGCCTATTATTGCTGTCTCAGCCTTTGCTTTATTTTATTGAGTCATTTGATTCCCTGCTGCCTCCCCTGCTTCCCTTCATAGCTCAGCGACGGTCAGGCACCCAGTGAGGGGAGACATGAGGGAAAACATCTCCTACCTATGTGCTGGGTAAGAAACTGCAGCACCCGTAGGCCAGAGCTGGAAATTACAGCACCTACTGTGTTTTGCTGAACTGCACACAAGAACAAGACAAGTCTTTCAGGATGGACTCAGGCAGTGGGACAACCCCACCCTAAGCCAAGCTGCAAAGTTAGAACAACTGTGTAAATTTACAGTGGAGATGATAAATAGTTCTGCCACACCAACTGACATTTCAGCAGTGGCACGCAGCGCTGCCAAATGCATCCCCTTCCCTCCTCATTCATCAACGCAAGCAAATCATTCATACTAAATGAAGTACCGACTGCACATCCATACACAAGGGTTTTAAATCAGAGGCTTGAGGTCAAAGTACTCGAGCAGTACATCAGCAAAGGGTTATCTTTTCTGTATGGAAAACTCACAAATCTCTGTGCTAAACCACTGTCTGCCTATGGCATTTCATCTATTAAACTAAATGCACCTCTGACGAAAGCTGTGGGGGATTTTTTACAGTCTTTTTCATTCAGTTTCCCCTGGATTCCTGAAACTTCCCCATAGTGCTTACTATTTCAACTGTTCTTCTTTTATAGCACCTTATTTTTAAGAAGACTTAATTTAAAGCCTGAAATCTGAACAGGCTTTTGAGGAACATTTTTGTTTATTTATCACCAACTGATTCACTGAAACTAGAAAACTAGTTCGACAGTTAGGCTTTACTTAAAACAACAAATTTTGATTCAAATAACGTGGTCGTACAAAATTCAAACTCAACTGAAAGTCACAGCTATCATTTTAGTGTTTGCGGTGTACAATGCTGACTAGAATATTTTAAGTGCCCAACTTTCTTACCCCCCAACCCTTTTCCCTGTCTGCTCCCAACAATCTTAACAACCTGAAATATTTACAACATAAATGCACTCCATCTCTCCCCTTCCCATGCTCCTTCCCAAGTTTAGTTTCTCTCTCTTTTTGTTCAACAATTTCCTCGCTTTCTCTGAAGAATGTTCTGCTGCTTTTTTTTTTTTTTTTTTTTTTCTAT